CCTGCTTACTGGTAAGGATGTCTTAATGACTGAAACACTGTACCGGTACATGTACATGTTGGTGGTGTCAGGGAGATGTTAACTTTTAATAACAGGTTTTGCTCTTCACAGATGTACCTGTAGATGTTATTATATATTCATAACACTGTGTGCTCAGTGTTTGTCCAAGAGCTTGCTGGAGAAATTGTAATTTTTGCATTTTAAGTGTACATGTACATGTATACATGTACAAATGCAGTTGTCTTTTTTGCTGTAGTCTCCGCCTGCATTGAGTAGTGATGTGAGTGTTTGCTGAGATGTCCAGTGCTTGCTGTATGCTTCAAGAATTGTCTTGATAAAAAGTATTCCCGGTTCTTCTCAGAACCACTCATACTCAAGAAAGAGATTGATGCATGGTGTGACCGCAATCGTTTTACTCAAAAATTATCATTGTCTAAAACCCCAAACTTTGTCACCATTAGGAATGTCATTGCAATTAATGCTATCAATGACGCTTTGGTGGAATTGGAAAANGTTCCTAATTTATTTACTTTTTATGGGTACCCGGCCCGGAAAAATGGAACCGGGTTTTGAAATCGACGGGCGGGTACCCGGGTACCCAGCACAGGCCTAATTGTAGTCACTGTGAGATCATAATAATCATAATAACAGGTACCGGTATTTATATATAACAGGTTTGCCCTTCCGGTATGAAACGGAAGTGTACAAAATGGTTGTAATTCATTTTTTTTAAGCCATTTGTCAAAAAGTACAATGTAAGTCTCGATTTGTAAAAGATTTGTGGTCTGTGGTACCTGGGTTATTGAATACCGGTATATCTCCTAAATACTGTATTTCATTTCATGCACCGTACGTAACGGTACATGTACATGTAGTTTGCAAAGTTTCCATTTTGTGGCTGATAATAGCTTGGCCAATCATTTATGCTGGATGTACATGTGCTAGTACTAATACCTGAATACTGTACATACCGGTACATGTACGTACTGTACATGTATATGAATGTATGAACATGTGGGTGAGTGTACACGTATTTGACATGTCCATGTACAATACAAGTGCATTTATGTACATGTATAATACATGTAAGTGTCCTTCACCCGTCAGCGGATTCAGAAAAAGACCACCGGTAAGAGGTAAGAAAACAATGCAATCATGAACATGGCCCTGCGTGGATGCTAGCGAATGTGGATTCAGTTTGTGAACATGTACATTTGTACAATGTACATGTACATACATGTATACAGGTACATGTATGTTGGGTGCTAGTCGGCTTATGTATGTACAATGTACATGTACGGACAGTACATACCTTATTATATGCACTTGATAAAAGTGTGGACTTTTGACCGAATTAATTCAGCAGGAATACCATTACACCAGTTACATGTACATTTCCTTTGTTGAGAAATTATTCCCGTTATGTACCCGGTACATCATACCGGTACATGTAATCCCCAGAACTACATGTACATGTGTACTTGTGTACAGTGCTACCTGGTAGTACAGCTCCATGTATGGACGTGTACATGTCCACTGCATTTAGAATTTACTTTAGGCCTATGTAGTGACTTAGGAATAGTGGAAAACCTCATTGTGTGCTTGCCTTTACAAGTGGCAATACACTTTGACCAAATTACATGTAATTCCTCTTGCTTCACCGTCGCGTATTTGTAACACTGCATGCTCAGTATTTGTCCGAGAGCTAGTGAGTATAATTGACAAGCTTACTTGGGCTGGACCTGAACCCACAACCTCCTGCTTACTGATGAGGATGTCTTAATGACTGAACCACTGTACCGGTACATGTACATGTTGGTGGCGTCAGGGAGATGTTAACTTTTAATAACAGGGTTTGCCCTTCACTGATGTACCTGTAGATGTTATTATATATTCATAACACTGTGTGCTCAGTGTTTGTCCAAGAGCTTGCTGGAGAAATTGTAATGTAATTTTTTTCATTTTAAGTGGAGATACATGTACATGTACACATGTACAAATGCAGTTGTCTTTTTTGCTGTAGTCTCCACCTGCATTGAGTAGTGATGTGAGTGTTTGCTGAGATGTCCAGTGCTTGCTGTATGCTTCAAGAATTGTCTTGATAAAAAGTATTCCCGGTTCTTCTCAGAACCACTCATACTCAAGAAAGAGATTGATGCATGGTGTAACTGCAATCGTTTTACTCAAAAATTATCATTGTCTAAAACCCCAAACTTTGTCACCATTAGGAATGTCATTGCAATTAATGCTATCAATGACACTTTGGTGGAATTGGAAANTGTTTGGAACTGGCTCCAATTTCATCGTGGGAATCATGATCAGTTACGGTAGGTTCAAGTCCAACTTCCCTGACCCCCAAACAGAGAAAAATAGAAGTAAACCTCTAAGAATACTCATGGTTGAACAGGTGAAGGATTAATGACAGGATCATTAAAAAGGTGTTAATTGTACAATTGCCCTCTTGAATATGGGTGTTTACCACCTACATGTATAAATGCTGGTATCCATCGCCGTAGCACTTTTTACATGACTTGAATCTAGTGTATAGAATTGGTGATTTCACCTCAAGACTGTTTTAAGTTTGTTGAATCTGTGTTGCCAGGAAGGTATAATTCACCTGAAATTTGGACCCTAGATGTACCGTAATCTAGGCTCTTTTGTCCTGGTATGGACTTCCAACCTCCCTTGCCTCTGAAAACATGAGTTCTCTTTGGTGAGTTTACCCAGTACTCACATGCAGTGTGGTTGCTTATATTTCGTCAAGAAAGACCAGATGTCATAATACCGGTGCACTGGCCTGTCTTCAAGCCTGTAGTCAGATCGCAAATGCTCATGTAGGTGTGCCGTGTATGATACATGATAAAGATCAACAGTCATGACAGTTACAGTGTATGTACTTAGTATCTGTATGTATTGTTCACAATCATGTAACAGTTAATGCTGAAGAGCTTTCTTAGATAACGGAAACTTTTAACCGTTACCAAGCATCAACAATGAAAAAGGTGGTTATTCTGCTCATGACCTGATGAACCTCAGACCGGGCACTTGTTTCATATTCTCCTACCGGCATCTGGGTAACCTTTACTTGTACATCTGCAAGTCTTTCCTGGGATTAGTTGCTCATACAATGTCTGGAGAGACAGGCCAGTGAAGAGCCATCTCATTCTCCCCGTCTTGTTTTCTTCGTGGTTTGTCCACTCTCTAGACGATGAGGCGAATTCATGCCCAGAGCACGTGCACATGTTGCACGCTGAGACATGTACACATCTCACGTCACAGTGGTGTACTCGTAGGACGGATGTGTTCAGGATTCTAGACGGGTCCGGTCTGCCAGCGTACATGCTCTTTGTCAGACAAACAGTGCCTGGGAGAGCCTCGGCTTCAGTGGGCATGTGAGAAGTGGGCGTCCAACTTCGTCATGAATCATGCATGCATGTCCAAGATGTTAAAGTAGTGTGCATTTACACGTACATGTATACATGTAGCACATGAAGCCTATGGATACATGTACCATACAGTGCACCTGAAACATATCTAGACACCCCTGTAGTAAAACCCTTCTCAGTGAGAATAGAAGATTTTCTTTCATGTACAATTTACAGCATTGACCATACAGTCTACTGATACATTGCATAAATCAGTTGTCTCCCTGTGCATAAATTTTTATAGTTCAGTTCAAGTGCGTATTAATTGATTTAAAAAATTCGCATATACACAATCCTGCGTAAATCTCATATCTGCATATAGAGTACCAGAGTGAATACGTCACATGCACAGTTAGTGTGTAAAAGGCATTAGCGCGAGAACCAGCGTGTGAACCAACAAGCACGTGAACGTACATGTATGCCATTCTTTTGCACTGTACTTTCTGGTTCAAAATGACGTCACACTTCGCAACTCTATGGGGCAGTGCGGACATCCGGGATTCTCGCAAAATGACAGGTACATTTACTGCGTCGGTGAAAACAGCGACCTTGGCGACGTACGCACGCACCAGCCAGTCCGAGGATTGGGTTATACAATCTTTCTTTGATCTGTACGTATGCGTGCGCTCGTTGCAGTTGTTTTCATCGGCGCGGTGTGGTTGCTACCCGTATTTTTGTGAAACTCCCGGATGTCCGCTCTGTCCCATAGACTTATCTGAAGGAAGCCAGAACTGGTACACTGTACTACAGTGGCATCACACCATGTGCATGTTCTTCAAGTTGACCAATGCACACATTACAAGCATGTGAGGTGGGCTTTTCACCTCGTTGTGACTGTGCCACCACAGTTCTGGCTTTTATTTCTGGCCAGTGGATAACACTGCCAGTGCTTGCACATGTATGTACATGTATACATAAATACATGTATTCCTACATGTACAATGTACATGTATTTACGCAGGCCTGGCGATGCAGGTCTTCCCTCAGAGGATGTGATTTTTTTTGTTTCGTGAGATGAGTTTTGGTTAATGAAGCCTCATCGATATGTACATGTACATGCAAAGTATCATGGGTAATTGTATTTCGGTGGATCATGTGACTGTATGCAATACTTTTTTCTTTCAAAATCTAAAAAGTTCTACCGTAGATGTACATGTACCGGTATACAGCTAGTGTGCATTTGTACATTTTCTCTTCCTAATGCATTTGAGGTGAGACATTTAAAATTATACTGCATTTTGTTTGTGATCTTCACAAAATGTGTGTGTCTTGTTCAGCTTTGCTCTGCTGCAGTATGCAATCTCCTGCTCTCTAATATTTGCCATATTTGATGTTTATAAGATCACAAACTGAGTAATGTAGGCTGTATTCAATGCAGCACACAAACCCTCATCATTTTACCACCTGAAGGTTCCCCTTGGCCTGGTTCCTCTTAATGTACTTTCACAATTTGCGATGTACAGTGTACATGTACATGTACTTTTCCTTAAGTTCTATTTCTCTGGATAGCAGAAGCTGCCCATTAACCAATTGTCAAAGCATTTCACTCCTCGTTCATTGGCCGTTGCTTTTCAGGCTGCCGATCTGACCAAACCTCTGGACAAGAGGACATACAAGGGCGGCACCCTGCCTACCTGCCACGCCATCAACCAGTTCACGGCCAGTGCCCAGAGCATCTCCCTGTTGGTAGGCTTCTCTGCCGGTCAGGTGCAGCTCATCGACCCCATCCGTAAGGACATCAGTAAGATCTACAATGAGGAGGTATGTTTTGGCAGGGCGGAGGCAGGGCACAGAGAGAAGAAGTGGGAGGGAAAATTGGAAGGTACATGCACTCTCATCAACAGACTGCTGCGTGGATGTCGTCATCTTAACGGTTATGTGGTTTGTAGGGACAGTACGATAGATTTGTGACCTATCCTGCTTGGTATGTTAGCGTCATGGGTTGTGTAAGTTTACAAGGAGTGCTATGGTGTGTTAGGTATGGTAGCCGTGGCTAATTTTCATTTGAATGTGCAAAATCACATGGGTCTCCACATTGAAGGACAGCAAAGGTACATGTAATAGCCCGAATAACAGTCTCAAATCCTTCGATTTCAATAGGATTTTACATACACCCTATTGGGTTAGGGTTAAGATATTGCCCAAACGTTTTGTCTTGGAGGAGGACACTATTTAGTTGCTGTCCTCTCGTTGAGCTTCTTACCTGATAAGCTCTCAGAAGCAAAATCTTGGCTAAAATACATTAACCATTTCCTGCCAGGATGCCTGAAACCGGACAAAAGAGCTGCTGCCTTATAACAAAAGACCGCACTCAGAACAAAAGACTGAGCTGCTGGGAATTGCTAACATTTTTTTAGTTGTCAATAGCAGAGGAAATCCGTTATTGTTTGGAAAAATTATATATACTACTGTTTGTGGCATTTAGCACGAGCGGATTACCACCGGGGACAAAAGCGTTCCAGCGCTCCAGTGATGAGCGATACAATACCGCTGCATGCTAATCTGGCCCCTATTGAAAAGACGCCAGCAGCACACTGTGCCAGTTTTGGGAACAAAAGAAACTTATGTAACACCGCGCAATCTGGGCTCTTTTTACCAGGCAGCAGGCCTGGCTGAAATACTCGGGCATTAATAGATGTTGTCTGTTAAATTAGAGTAGCCACCAGACAGTCATCCGTGTGGTTGTAAACATTCAGGATAAATGCACTTATGATTTTTTTTAAAAAATTTTGAAACGGAAAATCCCCCGGTTTTATCTCGTGCAACTTCAAATTAAACCAGGCAGCAAGTGGTTATTACCTGGTTTGTTTTGTAATACATGTACACTGTAGATCTATCCTCGAGGTCCCAGCTGACAAGTTTTTAAAAATGGCCAAAATTTGTAGCTAAATGCTCATATTTGTAGCCATTTATTTTTTCATGCAGTACTAAAACACAACTTTAAGCTCACCAATTCCTCAGGGCTAAAGCCAAAGTTTGTAAATGTTTGTCATCGTCTACAGTGAAAACTAGCAGCCCAAATCCTGCATCTTGGCACTTTCCATTCGTCATTGTTAGTAATACACAAGGATTCCACAGTTACCTAGCCTCAAGGACTGTCTGCCTTCACCATCATTTAATACTGCCACTGTAGTCATGTTTGCTGCTGATAAAAAAGAACATTTAGTGGAATTACACAAAGCATTGGCTACTGTGAATTTTTCTTGACTAATTTTGCTGCAGAGGCTGATCGACAAGACCAAGGTAACCTGCCTGTCCTGGGTACCGGGGACGGAGCACATGTTCCTGGCCGCCCACACGAGTGGCCAGATGTACTTGTACAATGAAGGGCTTCCCCCATCAAACACGCCCCCCCATTACCAGCTCCTCAAGCAAGGAGACAGCTATCAAATCCACACCTGCAAGAGCAAGTCCTCGCGCAACCCTGTCTTTAGATGGGTCCTGGGAGATGGTGCCCTTAACGAGTTTGCCTTCTCCTCAAAGGCCAAGAACATTGCGTGTGTGTCACAAGACGGATTCTTGAGAGTCTTTGATTACGACACAATGGACCTGCTTGGCACGATGAAGAGCTACTTCGGTGGACTGTCTTGTGTGTGTTGGAGCCCAGATGATAAGTATATTGTTGTGGGCGGGGAGGACGATCTGGTGACAGTGTGGTCGTTTCTTGATAGGAAAGTTGTGGCCCGTGGTCATGGCCATGGGTCGTGGGTCAGTGTGGTCAACTTTGACCCTTTCACCACCACGGTGCTGCCGAACGATGAGGCATTCTGTGGAAGCGACGATGATCTTAACGGAATGAACAGCCGGGAACGGACTTACAGCAGCCACTCCCGGACCTCAGTCATCAGCAGTGGGGAGAACAGTCTCCCGGAGGTGTCGTACCGCTTCGGATCAGTCGGGCAGGACACCAACCTCTGTCTGTGGGAGTTCACCGAGGACACGCTGCGCATGTTCCAGCCCCCGAATCGGGTACGGACCAACACTGCACTGTCAGTGGGACAGACGTCCATGTCGCAGTCCAACAACATCGCCTCCCACAAGCCCGTGGGGAATGCCACCGGCCACCCGGACACCGGCAGCATCAGCAGCAAGTTCTCCAACCTCTCGCTGTCGGACAAGCACAAGGACAAGCACAAGAAGGATAGCGTGAGCAGCAAGAGCAGCATCCACTCCCACAGCAGCAAGGTGCACCTGCGGCTGCTGGAGGAGGCCTACCGCGTGGGCACCAGCGCCTGCCCCCGGCTGGATGAGGTACTGATGCTGGAACCCCTCGTGGCCAAGAAGATTGCCCAGGAGAGGCTGACTGCCTTGATCTTCAGGGAGGACTGTATAGTGACAGCATGCCAGGAGGGCTTTGTCAGTACATGGGCAAGGCCAGGGAAAGTGGTGAGTACTTGTACATTATACAGTACATGTAAATGCTCTTGCAGTGTCCATATGTATCAGTAATGTTACCAGGAATCAGCTTTCCCAATGGTGTGTTTGTGGCAATGAAGGGTGCACAGGAATGTGTGCTTTAATTTGTGTGGATACCACATTGTCAAATGATGGCCCAAACCAAATAACATCTTCCTAATGTGGTTGCTGTGTTTCCGAAAAGCGAAGGCGGTAACTGATGCCTGTGCCAGCCTAAGCCATTGTCTTGTGACCTAAGCCACTTCCCATGCACATACTTGTGTGTTACCCTTGTAGCCAGTCGAATCAGACAGGGCTTAATACAAATGTCATACCGGTACGTGTACAAAGTGAGGAAACTGTGGTTACAATCAAACCTTTGTACCAGAACATGGAGTAGGGTGCCAGTCTTAAGACAAGAAATTGCATTCAGACTTTGTCAACTTAGAGGAAAAACCATTGCCTATTTTACTGCAAGTTGGAGCTAATTAGGGTAAATTTTCACAGTAGGCCACATTTTACTTTTCATACCACACGAAGGGGCCTGCTTCTGTGTAATTTTGTGTTTCACATTTTGTTGTTTTTATTATTATATTTATTACTTTTAATCATTTCTGATAATGACACCAAAGATTCCGCAAAAACTCCTTAGGCACTGTAGCTCGCAAGCCTGAAGAAACCTGTAGAGAGGAGAGAAGCAGTTACAGTTTCGGAGGTGGGAGGAAAACCCCAGAGGAATGTTCTGGGTCAAACCCACAATATCAGGGAGGGACTGAAAACTCAATCCACATGTGGACCCGGCCGGGATTCAAACCCGGACTGTAGAGGTGAAAGGCGAGGAAAGGACCACTACGCCAACCTGACTCCCCGTTTAGTTGGAGGAATGCAAACTGGCCCTGCTGTCTAACTGGTAGTCTGCCAAATGGTGTTTTGAAAGTGGAGACGCTTCGTTAACCAGTCAATGATGTTCTCTTGTCCTCCAGGGAGTTCATTCAGCGAAGGGTGGGACCGTTGTATGAAGCAACCAGATAATTCACTTATCTGGGGGAGAGACCAAACATACTAGCCCATCGACTAGTGGCTGACAGCCTCAGCGATGATTGGGACATAAGACACGACTCAGCATATACAGCCGCTGCCGGGGGGGGGAGCAACGGAGACCATAGCCTGTAAAGTCGCTGCACATGCGTGGAAGGGTTTTTGTGCAGACACTGAACGGTAGCACCCGGGTGGTAAACTACTCTCAGTATTAATGCGGAATACATGTACGTGTTCCTACGTCTGGGCTTGCGTTTGTGCAAATGTTCCAATCCATCCATTTCAGTGACCTGCGCCAGTTTTGAGGCAGACATTTACAGCAGAGAGAACGTCTGCCAGAGGTGCTGGGCAGAATTTTTTTTTCCCAAAACAAAGAAACAAAAAGCCAGGCTGATTAATTTGTATGTATGTACTCGGACCCGTGGTTTCAGATGGTCACTGAAGCTAAGGATGAAAAGTAAATGAACAAACAACCACTGCTCCGAACAACCCACGATGACACCACCACTTTAACCACACCTTTTACTTCAGCTTTTCTGCCTTGATGTCCATTGCAGATTTCCGTTTGTGAACGTTTGTGTAACTCCAGCAAAAGGTTATATCTTATAAAGGGACTGTGTCGTCTCTACAAACATTAGTCAAAACCACTTTTGTTTATAGGCCTATGTAAAAAAAAAATGGAGAGAGAATTTTCTGGAGTAGAACAGAAGAGTAAATTATGAGATTTGAATATTCATGGATCTTGATACGGTTATATGACCTGTGGCCATGCCATGAACAGTATATTAATTTTCTGCTAAGTGTGATGACAGATTTTACAAGTCCTGTCATGGGGAGTCTACTCCATATTTCATCAAAGGTGTACATTGTATGTTACCCACATTTGTCATCTAGGGAAAAAATGAACCGTACCTTTAAGTGGCTTTTACTGTATTTAGTAACCCAAAACTGACAATATAGCACTTAGCAAAGTTATCACACACTCTGCCATCATCAAATGAGAGTCAAGTGGCTGTGACCTTCTTGTGGGTCTAAATTTCGTCCGGATTTCTACGATCTCCAGTTTGTTAGTTCAGCACAGTTAGACGCCACCGAGAGGACTCCACATGTACTCCAGTTCCACACTGAATGGCAGAAATCTCCTGTCAGATCCTGCCTTTAGCAGCTCCGCCCAGAGTGCATGGAAGCCGGATGTGCCCAGTGAAGCTTAGAATGAAAGGCTGAGAGGTTTATGGTTTGTAGTGTACCCGTATACATCCCACTGAATGCTATTTCAGGCAGGGCCTTTACTGTTCACATGATCTGCTGTCAACACTTTAGTTTGAAACTGTACATTGCCACATTGACAAGATATCCAGTGTGATATGCATTAAAGATCCCCCACGTGATGCAGAAGCTGTGTACACCAGGCTAATCTACTTACTGCATTCTCAATAAACATCTGAAAAGAAAAAGGGTGCCCCTTTGCCACATGTTGTCATGCATGCTTTGACATGCTGGCCCTCTGGAGTTCACACCTGGGTTTTACGTGGGATTTGAATGGTGTCCAGATACGCTTAACAATTAGAAATGGGGGTATCCAAACTGTTGAATGCTGTGATTGTCTGTCGCGGCGCATTGTGCACGGCAAACTAGAGTGTGGTCTCTGCTGGTTGGTGTCAGTCGGAGCACCGCACAAGATGGTTCAAAGCCTCTGATTCAGGATCGGATGCTTGCCTGTTCGCTAGGATTTCTTTTCAGGAATAAAAAAAGGACGTAAAGAGACAACAAAAAAAGGAATTATGTTCATGGCAATAACGTGGCATTCATTAGTATGTTAATGTGCAAAATTTATATACCTGTATAAATGTGAATTCATGAATTTTATATATTGGTGTGATATCAAAGATGTAGAAAATTCTTTTATGTTTTAGTTGGCAAAAGACTCATGTAGAAAGGTTTTGTGTTAATTATTTCTGCCTGATTAAAATAATCTAACAGTGCCTGTGATTGTTTCTTTAAATGACACCATTAAGCAGATGATACTGGTAGTTGTGAATGTATTTTAAGATTTCTGTTAATTGAATGGAATCTTTTGATTGTAAAGGTTTTGTTTTTTCAGCGCTGCAAATTATCATTTGCTGTGATACAGTCGAATATTGTTTTACACTGCACGGCCATCGCTCACAAACAAAACAGTTGGCTTTGTTTTGCAAACAATCGTGAATCCCACAGAATGATCCACATAGCCTTTTATGATCATTAATTTTTATACATGCCCGAGAAAGAGAATGGTCGCCCTTTATTGGAAAGCATCACTCAGTGGTGTAGGATGTTGGCATTATGCGGACGAAATCATCCAGGGTTCCTGTTGAATTCAATTGTGCGTCATTTGCAAGCTTGTCAAGCCAAACATGATCTGGAGTCTTTTTTTCTCTCTTTGGGTAGGGTCACATTTCTATTTGGACTCGTTGTACATGTACATATAATACACCTCAGTAATATCGTTTTTTCTTGGTCTTTGGACAATGTTTCCTCACAGCTCAGCTCTTCATCTTCGATACCTTTCCAGTTACTTTTGCTTTACGTATTTTTTGTGACCATTATGCAGAAATGATTGCATTGCTTTGGCAAAATCAGTAGTTGTTTGAATCAAAAGCATAGTAACTGATGCAAGAAATGCCAAAAATAGTAAAAAGAGTTACACTTTATTTTTGTTTTCCACACGTAAATAATGTCCATCGGATATACAAACACATCATTATGGTTGTCATGTGCAAGGCCTACTACCTCTAGTTGTAACAGATTGGTAGTTGTAATATGTGGGTGCACTAACATGTATGTAAACGATTCTTCAAGAAACTCCTGCTTCTACTGCTGACATGCCCATGGGTTCCTCATGCTCATTTGGACACATCCAGCTGCTGTGTGGAACAGTAGGATTAGAAATTAAACTAATGTGACAAATGGAATGAACGTGTACAGAAACAACTACTGTAGTTGGTTGGTTTCTACAAAATTCCTGTCTGAAAGGATTTTGCATGTAACACAGGAAACTTTCTTAAAATTTTTTAATTTAGGAATGAGCCTCCAGCATTGTCGGTTTGCATCTTTTCCTTTTCTTGTCCCCAAAGATCAGTTGCATTCATGGGCACACACAAATACACCTACGGAAGCACTCAGGGAACGCTGACTTGGAATTACAATTAGGCCTGCTACATCATCAGCATTGTTCTGTCTTGATAAGAAACTATGAGCTTGTTGTAATATATAGGTCTTTGGCTATGTCTCTTGCCAGCATGCACATGTACCCATGCAACTGGCAAGGACCTAAACCCAGTGGTAGACTCATTACTCAGATGTAGCCCTAACGGGGCTGTCAGAGAAGACCGAGTCAGCAAGTGTTGTAGAAAGCCTCTTGATGCAGCCCAGCACACGGTAGCTATTTTGTTTTCCCCAAGTGAGAGACTGGATCTGGCATTGTTGTAGTCGGGGCGAGTCGGTCACAAGTTCAGTCAGAAGTCATTTCACATGGCCATTTGCAGAACCGGTCACAAGTAACCAGAAGAAAAGTGACGAATGAATGTGTTTGTACCATGCCATTTGAACGGCTTGCGACTGCTTAACCACTTCATGCCGGGACATTTTTCAATATTGATGATGCTGGGCCGGCATGATTATCATTTCCCGTTTTCAAAATCCTTCAAAAATTCATCATTTCATTTAACGGTTGTTCATAGCCGCAGGAAGTAATCTTTAGGCAC